TTCCTGACGCTCCTCACTGGGAAGAATGGGGGTTCCCGGCGCTCCTCACTGCGGGGAATGGGGGTTCCTGACCCTCCTCACTGGGGGGAAGGGCCCCGGGCAAGCGCCCTCACGCTGCCCTCACGGCTTCTGGCGCCCTGTCCGCCCTACCTTAAGCCCAGTCAAAACTGGACACTGACGGCTCCGGGACATTCTACCCCAAGGAAGCAGCGTAGGTGAGTGAGGGGGCCAACGCGGCTTTTAAACGCTGGGGAGTGGGATTCCACTGATTGCTGGGTGGTGTCACCTGAAGTTTCAAGATACTCCAGGTGAGAAAAGAAAGAAAACAGCACACCTATCGCCCATCCCACATCACTCTGTAGATGATGGATGCCATCTACGAGGCACGTGTGCCCACAGCGAGGGGGCCGAGGAGGGCGGCACCTGGCTCATGTGGGTCTCCATCTTTCTCCCGGAGAACCGAGACTCCTGGTAGAATCCGATCACTGACCAAAGGCGACAGCTGGGAATCACAATGACACAGAAGCACCTCTTCCCCCTGTTGCTGGAGCGCGAGAGCCACACCCAGACTCTTCCTGAATCTCAGTCCGTCGTGGTGGGCGTAGCACCGCGAGGCACACGGGGCCGTTCTACAGGAAAAGGCCGGGAGCATAAAATCACTCTGTTGCTACGGAGATCTGACCCAGCTCTTGAAATCCAGTGACTTACGTAATTCTGCTGATTGTGGCACTTTATAGGGTGACCTCATATTCGCAATTTCAAACTCAGGAAAGCCTTATGTTGAGTGTGTGCCTATGAGCTTGTGCTAGGATGATAGATGTCATCAAAAATTGAAATATTAACATTGATTACAAGACCTGGGGAATAAGGACGCAGCCGAAAATTACCAAGAAAAATCAATGTAGAAACTGGAAAGAGGTGGAGAGATCAACCAAAGGACTTGTATGCATGCATTACGCATAAGCGATGGATGTGGACAACAGGGGCTGAGGGTGAGGGCAGGATTGAGGGGATGAGGGGACATTGGGGGGATAAGGACACATTTGTAATATCTTAATCAATAAAGGAAAAAAAAGGTGGAACTTTATAAATGAAAGACAACTCACTGCTTCCCAATGGCCAGATGGTTTGGACCTGCCCACCTTGTCGCTGGGAAAGCAGTGAACCTAAAGCAAAGACACTCACGGGCGCTCATAAGTGAAAACAGACACAGTGACTTGCCTCTTGCTTTCCATTTTAACAGCCTCAATGTCCATCTGTGTTAAACTGCAAATTACCGCCAATCCTTTCCGAATGTGGACAGAAGAATAATGGCAAATAAAGATAGAAAGCCCTACGGACAAGCTAAGTGACCCCTAAACCTAAGGGATTCCAGAGCAAGCAGACATTGGGGACCTACTCCAGCACTCTGCCGGGGAGGCCCAGTGAGGTCCATGAGGCCCGGGGAGGTCCAGTGAGTCCCAGGGAGGCCTGTGGAGGTCCGAGGAGGTGGGGAGGTCCGGGGAGTCCCGGGGAGGTCTGATGAGGCCCTGGGAGGCCCAGAGAGGCCCGCGGAAGTCTGGGGAGGCCCGGGGAGGTCTGAGGAGGTGTGGGAGTTCCGGGGAGTCCTGGGGAGGTCCAGGGGAGGAGCCTTAGATGACCATCAGAGCAGGAACGTCCAGAGAACCAGGCGCCAGGGCCGGCATTTGGCGGGTCCTCTTGGCCCCTCTCGGCTCCCGTCGGGCCTCTCCTGGCCTCACACTCTCTTAGACATTCCGGGAGCCCCTGGCACAGGCTAAGACCTGTCTCGTCCCTACGGTTGTGTCCAGAGCTCTTCTATCTGGAATGTCCCCTCTTCATTCTTCAAGAAGACACAACCCCGAACACCTAAGCCACGCCGGTTCCCCGGAGACCGTCTCGGCACTCACCTATGTTTCATCTCTGTCCCTAATGTGTCAGGCCCCCTTCCTCCCAACGATGTGACTCTGTCCTTGCCGGTGGGGAATGCGCGGGATGACTCTGACGTGAGGGCCCGTGCCTTCTCGGAGCCTAATAATCTGCTGTGGATCATACGGACTTTGAAATGCACTTTGAAGAGAAGGCGCCGGGGCCAGAAGGCACCTTCAGCCAGGGCTCCAGAATAGAGACGACAGGAGGCCAGCAACTAGAACATGTCTGTGACCCAAACTGAGCCTTTGCACAAGCCACGGGAGTTGGCAAATCTGTCCCTGCAGCCACATGACATTTGCCAACTGGCCCCAGAACCGGCGCAGGTCCTGTGCCGTGTGGGTGGGGAGCGCGAAGGCTGGCAAAGTCCAGCGGCTTAGCTCCCCTGCACTTGCTGAGCGAAAACCTTCCATACGAGATGAAGGTAAAGGCTCCTCCCCAGCTACAGCGTGAAGAGCACCCAGCAGAGTTCTGGGGTGACACCGTGACCCCATATACACAGGCACCTAGGAAATCAGACAAGCCACCGCTTGGGCTCCATTTTCTTAATGAGTGCGGTCATTTGTGAGGGTCCGAGGAGGAGTCGATATGCAGCATTAGGCCCGGGTGGGAGATTTCAAATATTTAGGATTCTCTAATTCTTTCAATTCCTTTTTAAAAAAATATTTTTAATTGATTTTTAGAGAGAGAGGAAGGGAAAGGGAGAGTGAAGCATCAATCAGCTGCCTCCTGCATACCCTCTGCCGGGGATGGAACAGGCAACCTTTCCATGCTCGGGACCAGGCCCGACCCACCAAGCCATGCGGCCAGGGCTGACTTACTGTTGTTATTAATCCTCTCCCAAGGATATTTTCCATTGATTTTTAGAGCTACTGCAAGGGAGAGAGGGAGACAGAGAGAGAAACATCGATGTGAGAGACACAACTAGTTGCCTCCCGCACGGGCCCCGACTGGGGCTGGGGATCGAGCCTGCAACCAAGGTCCGTGCCCGTGACTGGAATTGAGCCCGAGACCCTTCAGTCCACGTGCTGATGCTCTAGTCACTGAGCAACCAGCGAGGGCAAGTAACTTTTTTCCTCTTAAGGCTAAATGTACAATGGGGTAAGTTTCACTTAAGATACCACCTCTACAGGTGAGTGCCATGCAGGATTCTGGAACAGACTTGTCACTCATGGGCCCTCCGCATCACCCTCAGCTCCCGCAGCCCCCGTGACTGGGAGGAAGTCACTTCTGAGCTAAGACGATAACCAGAGAGGCGGTCGTGCACATGGTCCCCTCCGGGCACCTGTCCAAGCTCACCCACCTGCAGACCGGACACGCAGGACTGGCGCTCATGCAGCGTCCTGCCACGCACCGCACCGCCCGCGGCCTCACAGGCTGGCCCATGCATTTTTACAGAGTTTCACAAGCGCTAGAACAGTGGTTCTCAACCTTCCTAATGCCGTGACCCTTTTATACAGTTCCTCATGTTGTGGTGACCCCCAATTTCATTGTTACAAATTGAACATAATTACAGCATAGTGATTAATCACAAAAACAATATGTAATTATATATGTGTTTTCCGATGGTCTTAGGCGACCCCTGTGAAAGGGTCGTTCGACCCCCAAAGGGGTCCTGACCCACAGGTTGAGAACCGCTATCCTAAACTAACCTTCTTGTCTTTCTTAAAATGACTTCTAATCTTACCCCCGACACTGCATTCCTTTTGCTTCTAGATGTTATAATTTTTTTAAAATATATTTTTATTGATTTCAGAGAGGAAGGGAGAGAGAGAGAAACATCAATGGTGAGAAAGAATCATTGATCGGCTGCCTTCTGCATGACCCACACTGGGGATCGAGCCCGCAGGTTTCCTGACCAGGAATCAAACCGTGACTTCCTGGTTCATAGGTCAACACTCAATCACTGAGCCATGCCAGCTGGGCTAGATGTTATAATATTTTCATGTCAGTTGTAAATTAGCTAAATGTTACTGCTTCCCCACTTTAAAAATAACTTCAGGTTTGTACTTTACCTTTAAAACCACTCTGTGATTGTCCCTAATGCATAGAGTAGCATATATTCTAAAGGATGTACTACTGAATTGGATGTGCATACCTACGCGTATGAAACCAAGTGGGCTTTCCCCAGCAGCTTGGGAAGTGCTATCCTTTGGAACTTCCCACTCCTCCGTTGGGTCCGTAGGAGGCCATACAGCTGTTTTCTTTGTCACTGGTATTGCTTATCTCCCCCAAGTTCACATCGCTGAAGCGGAAGTTCAACAAAAGTGACAATAGTGGCTGATGCTGACTGAGACCACACGACATGGGCATCACAACCTCCGTGGTAGCTTCTGCGCCGGGGCCTCTGTGGAAAGCGGGTAGAGCCCAGAGGGGCGGCCACGGACACCACACCAGAACACCTCTGTCCCAAGCTACCTGCGGGGCAGGGACCCTGTCATTCAGGTGCAGGGACATGACCTGTGGCTTACCTGAGGGCTCACTGTGGAGCCCAGCTACTGCCAGTGCAATGGCGGCGCCTTCCTGTCCCGGGAAGACCCACAGGAGCATCTCAGAGTCCTAATCCTGTATCAGTGGCCGCCCAGCCTTGGCCAATGTGGTCCTAATGGGGCCAAACGTTAGCTTTGATGGTCGGTGCCTCAACGTGCAGGGATTTCTAAGAAAACAGAATCCCACAGAAAGCAGAGGGCTGGGAAGCTGTCATTGGTCTGAGGGCGTATCCTAAGTGCTTGGTCCAGCACTTCCCTTGGCAACAAATAACTCGAACGGAGTCATCACAGAAGCAGATCTAGACAATCCAAGGACCCACCCACGGAGGGACCCCTCTGCAGCACCCTGACATGGGCTGCACCTCTGCTCCTTCCCCAGGACGCGGCTTCCTCCCGGGTGGACAGAGGAGCGTGGCAGGTGGCCCACGGTGGGACGGTCTAGTTGGGGGCGACCTTACCGTCCTTGTTCTCATACAACCGCCTCCCAGATATTCTCCTGGGATAACTTATCACACAGCCAACGAGGACTGTCTAGTCTCCCCTTCGCTTCAAGGTATTAAATGATAGGATTACACTCACCTGGGTTTTTAATTATGTCAAGAGGCTTTCTGAGAATTATAATTTCTTAATTAACTCATCTTCTTAAACTCGGCAACGTTCTTTATATCCATAAAATGAACCCAGAGGCAATGAGATGGCATTTAAAACCTGCAAGCAAATAACGCTTTAAATGTACGACCAATTCTGAGGGCTTTTCCCTCATGCCTTCTAAACTGGCCGATCCACGCAGGGTCCTGAATCCATGCCCTGACCCCGCACGCAGAGGGCTGCTTCTCACATTCACCGCCGCAGGGAATCGCGCTGAGCCACGATGCCCCGCTGGGCCTGGAGGGGACCAGCCGCAGGGATGCCGGACTGTCCTCCTCACAGGTCGGGGGGACACAGAGCAGGCGAAGTGCGCGTCACACTCAGCTCTGGAACCCTCTTCAGAGCCCCACACCTCTCTCAGCGCGCTTAACATGATCCACGTATTTTATGTAGCCCCCAAATCCCACCTACTCTGAGAGATCCTGATGTTTTAAAGCCATCGAGTCTATAACAAGTTCAACAATATTTATTTAATGAGGAGATATTCCAAACCAGCAAAAACATGTAAGAAACAGACACACACCCCACCTCAATGTGCCCCCTGGTTCTGGAGCCGGCACCTGCGCCCGCCTCCCGCTGGCTTCCCCTCGGCAGTCACCGCTGCGGAAATGGTTTGTGTGTCTTCTCGCCTCCATTTTCGCTTCCATCCCCTCTGAACACATTAAACAAAGCGCAGGATTCGAGGGTGTTTTGAAACGCCACGTAAATGGCACCATTTAGTCAATCCACTCTGCAATTTTTGTCTACCATTATGTTAGGGATTTATCCATGGGGATACGTTTATATAAATAGTTTATCACAGAATCACACTGTTTCAATATGCCACCACTTACACTTCCTTCTCCTCTTGGACCTGGTTTGTTTTTGCCGTCAGGAAGGGCGCGGCGCAGTGCTCCTGGGGGACCTGTTCAAGAACGTCTCCGGGAAAAACCCAGAAGCAGCGAACTCACTTAGGAGTTCCCTGCACATGAAAGGACGGGTGGGGTTTCTCTCTAAGAGTCTCCTTCTTCCAATGATGTTATGTCGGCCCTAAGAACAGTTAGACAATTAAAAAAATAAACACTTTCCGGAGACCCATTAGTATAATTAGGAAGTCTTCTTTCAATTACAACTTAAATCTCTATGTTGGCCAAGAGCGTGGTACTATTATTAAAAATAAACAGTGATGGCCGGCCAGGGAGCAGTGAGACGGGCCGTGGATGACTCGCTGAGAAAAGGACATTAAGCCCTGTCAGAGGACGAGCAGAGCAGCAGGGCTGGGGTCTGAGTCAGAGAAGAGGCGAGAGCCCGTCCTGGAGCCCAGCAGTGTCGCGGCCCAGCCACCCTCCGGCCGTTCTTCAGCCTCCTCGTTCACCCCTTCGTGCTTGCTCAGGTCTTAGTGACAGCTACACAGTCTTCCAGACAGAACGTTGTCCCTTGAGGTCTTCAGGTGCAGAAAAAGCCTGTTTGCTGGCTCCAAACCCTGACTTTCTTCTCAAGCTTCCCCTCATCTCTCATCTTAAAGTAACTTGATATGAGCTTTTAAGAAAATTTATTGGGGTGACATTGGTTTCCAAACCATACAGGTTTCAAGGGTACAACTTAATAAAACATCACTGCACACTGCACCATGCGCCCAGCGCCCCAAGCCGAGTCTCTGTCCTCCCCATTTACCCTCCTTTGCCCCCACCCCTCCCCCTCCCCTTCCCTCTGGCTATCACCACATTATTGTCTGTGTCTCTGTGTTATGTTTTTTGCGTAATCTCTTCACCTTCTTTCATGCAGTCCTCCAACGCCCCTCCCCATAGCTGTGAGCCTGTTCATGTATCCATATGCCTCTGTTTCCATATTGTTCATTAAAAACATTTTGAAACGAAGTCTGTAGAATAGGAATAGTAGAACAACTGGTCTACAAATGGCTGATAGTTCTCTCCTTGGTCAAACTGAAAGGCAAACCTAGCCTGTGGCTCTTGGGGACAGCTAGAGGTGACTCCAGTGCTTCCCTCTCTCGCTCCCAGCTTCTCTGCAAGCCGACACCCGCCCACCCAGCGCATGTCAGAAACACGCAACAGCCCCCATGAGGAGGAGGGCTCCTTGGATGTCTGCCCAGTTAATAAGAAGACTATAAATGCTATTGTGAAATAACCAAACTAATGACCTCCCTGCAGTTTGAGGAAACTAAAACTCCAGGGCAGAAACTCACATGGTTCAAAATCACCAGAGGAGCAAGGAAGGGCAATTTCTACCTTCACAGCAGCGCGCAGCGCTGGTGCGGACAGGCTTACATGGCGGGAGAGCGCACACGCTGGAAGGAAAATCACAGCTTGAACAACTAGAATCTCGACGATTGCAAAGGCCACAGAATGGGATGCCAATATCCCTCAGGGAGGACAATGCCACCTGCTGTCACAGTGCAAGGGGACTGCCCCCGAGAGGGCTGTGACAACAGATGCACACCAGGTTCCTGAATGGGAACACTGAGGACATTTCAGAACTAGACCCAGGGGTATCTGTACATTTCATATTATCACCACCACCATCCTCCTCACCATCATCACTGCTGTCATCATTGTCTTCTTCATTTCTCTCATCATCATTTTCTTCATCATCAGCACCACCACCATCCTCACCATCATCACTGCTGTCATCATTGTCTTCTTCATTTCTACCATCTTCATCATTTTCTTCATCATCAGCACCACTACCACCATCCTCACCATCATCACTACTGTCATCATTGTATTCTTCATTTCTCTCATCATCATTTTCTTCACCATCATCAGCACCACCACCATCTTCTTCCTCCTCATTATCACCATCATCTTGATCATCATCTTCCTCCTCCTCATCACCCAACAGCGCACTCTGCCAGCTACGTTCAGGAAAACAACTCATTAAGCTCTTGGGCACCCATGGGGTGTGAATGCCTAGATCACCCCCACTTTACTGTGAAGCCCTGGTCATTCACAGAAAAACAGTAACTTCTCCAGGGCCATCTGGCCAAGAAGAGCGGAGTCAGGATTCTCCCCAGGCCTGTCTTTCTCCAGCCCTTGGAGTGAGCCTTGTGGAGAGGAGTGTGGCTCTTCCCAATCAGCCAGACTAAGGCCCCAATCTACCTGCCTACCCACCGATGCCTGCGCTCACCCTCACCACATCAACTGGGTGTTGTTTCCATAGAAGACAGGAGGAGAGAGGGACTCTTCCCTATAAGGTCCAGCGGCAAAAGTAGGGCAGACAGACAGGCCCAGGCCCTCAGGGGCTCTCAACCAATTCTCAATGACCTGCAACCTGCCCTCTATCTCAAGGACTGGAGATTCTGCACTGATAGCCTCCCCTATTTTTGGCTATGTGTGTGAGGACTGGCCTCCTGCCATCAAACACTTAGTAAGGACCTACTGTGTGCACAGGATTGGCACTGACCAAGGGAGACTGAAAGAGGCCCACAAAAAGACCGCCTTGGGAGGGGATAGAAAGGGATTTAAGAACAACCACGTGCTGTGCTGGGAACAGGTACCAGGAGATAACAGGCCACCAAGGAGAATTAGTGACATGCTCACATGGAATAATAATGTTGATGGTGGAGAAGGAAAAATTGCCTACTGTGTGCTAGGCACCGTGTGTATTTTACACTCTTCATCTCCTTCCACCCTCAGAATAACTCGTGAGGCAGTCCCCCTTTCGCAGATAAGAACACGAAGCTTAGTGAGCTCACATAACTCGCCCAGATCTCGCAGGCAGCACGGGGTTTGGGCCTTGTAGGGTTCAGTCAGGCAGGTGTGGTGTAAAGGCACCCTAAAAGGAGAAGTTCCCAGCTGGGTGCGTTTCTGTCCTGGTGAAGCAAAATGAGGTGGACAAAGAGGAACAGGCTGGGATTCCCAGGCAGCATGTGGTTGGTGGTGAGTGTGGTGCGTGTGTCTGTTTTCATCAGAAGACAAACTAAGTACAGTGGGCCATTTGTCAGCAGAAGCTTGTATGTACCTCAACGATTCTAACCAAATCGGAGAAGTACAGACAGTCACCTGTGGGTAGAGACAGTAGGGTAACCAGCTCTTACGGAAGACACCCTTGAAATACCCACGACAGCCAGACGGAGGGCAAAACCCTTTATAACTTACTCCCAAAGAGCTGCCCGGCCACACCCTGAACTCTGGCTCCCGGGCCAGGGCAGCGCTCAGATGACACCCATCCCATTCTCCTTCTGAAGGTGAACCTGATGCTCTGCAAGTTCAAGTCTCCGGCCAGAACCTGGCAGCTCTCCGACAGTTTGCACATGTTGGATGCCATCCTGGTTTGAATTTTCTGCACATTCCTTAATGGACTCTGAGTCGTGGAGTGCTCTGTTAATTCCCTTGTTGGGAACAACTGTTGGTGCAACTAGGGTACCACCGGAGTCCCCTCTGGGCGGCAGGCATCCCTGTGACATGCCAGGTGAATGAGTTACCGACTCCGGGGTCAGCCGAGCCTTTTTGTAAATAATTTGTGACATTTAGGACATTTAGACTGAAACCTGGGTTGCAGACACAGGCGGAGGGAACAGTCATGGGGGGTCATGGGGCGGGGAGAGGCAGAGCCGCTTGGGCATCCTGTGATGGGAGGGAACATGTTGGGGGAGGATCCTGCTGGTTCACCCCCTTTAACACTCTTGGCAAGAATTTCATGCTCACAGCTGAGGCAGGGCCTCCCCTGCTCCAGGGAATCTGTGATCACATTTGTGAATGGAGTGGCTCGTGGGCAGTCCCTGACCATGGCCAAAGGGACCCTGAGCCCCAGCTGCCAGGTGGGCACAGGTGGAAGGGAGCCCCTGGGCCATCCTAACCACTGGGCACTGCCTCACAAGGTAAGACCAAGGAGGTGAGACCGCCCTTATTAAAATGTCTCATTTGCCCTGGCTGGTGTTTCCCAGGGGTTAGAGCATCGGCCCAAACACTGAAGGGTCTCAGGTTTGATTCCCAGTCAAAAGCACATACCTGTGTTGCAGGTTCCATCCCCGCATGCAGAGGTAACCAACTGATGTGTCTCTCTCACATTGATCTCTCTCTCTCTCTCTCTCTCTCTCTCTCTCTCTCCCTCTCTCTCTCTCTCCCTTGCTCTCGCTCTCGCTCTCACTGTTACTCTCTCCCTCCCCTTCTATCCCTTCCTCTCTCTCTGAAAATCAATGGAAAACATATCTTCAGATGAGGATTAGCCAAAAATAAATAATAAAAAACTCATTTAACCCCAAACAGCTGAAGGAGTGTCGTCCTTGGTACAGAACATTAACGGGTGTCGTACATTCTTTTCCCACACGGAGCCTGGGAACCCAGCCTGCCTTCTGTGCCGGCGCTGCGGGCCTGTGCTGACCAGCTGCCCCAGCCCGAGCTGGACAGCGCAGACCTGGAGCTCCCAGTGGGCTGGCTGCCTGGGACAGGCAGGTTCTGAGGTTGTGTGCAGAAGAGTCAGGCCTTAAGGTGAACAAGGGAGGCAAGAGTGGAGTTCCGCAGAAATCCATGCACCTCCGTCACAGGGAGGGGAAGCCCAGCCCACCGTCACCAACACACGCCACTCGTTCGTTTATTCATACAACATGTACACTGATAATTTCCTGGGAAGTACAGATGCAGGAGACAAGCTCAAAGGCGTGGCTACCTGACTCCACGCCTAACGCTGGCGTTTGAAAACCAGGAGCACAGTTACCAGTTCCCTCACCACGGTTCTCTCCAGGATCTCTGAACATCAGACACCTTTTCATCCCCGAGTTTTGAAGCGAGCCGCGCCATCGGGGAGATGGGAATTGGGGAAGAGGGTACCTGCGGACGAGGCCAGCTGGACGGGCTCTGAGAGGGCAGGAGATAAACCCGTTAGGTCCCACCTGTGATCAGCAGCGCGCTGGGTCCTGGTTTCCGATAATCCCTCACCCGTGGCGGGTGTCGTGGGAGGTAGCCCCCTATAGTCAGGGCCCCAGCACCTGTTACAGAGAGAGTGGCCTCCGTGGGTTTTTAAATAAACATACAGCACATCTGTGGGCAGAGCACGTACCAAGCCTGCCTGTGGCGCTTACCTGCCCCCACGCCACGTCCACGCTCCACTCCCTCTCCAGCCCCACCTGGCCAGCAAGGCCACTTCCTACAGGAGTCCCACCTGACGCCCCTCAAGAAGGCTACATGGTCTTTTTGCCTTTTACCCTTTGTCAGGAAAATAAGATGCTTCGAGGCCCTGCTCTCTGAGGTCAGGGGACATAACAGAATTTAAAGCAGAAACTTCACATGAGAAAGGGGAGGGAACCTGTGGACTTGCCTCATGGCTACGAGACACAGAATTTGGGGAGTTGGGTTCCTTTAACAGCATCAGGTGGTTTTCTACATGAGTTTACAAGCGAGGACTCTGTTTTTTTTCTGTGACCAGATTTATGACCCACTCAGGACAGTGAATGGTGTGACAGAAGCCAATGAAAATACCACCCACTCTGCTGGCGGCGGGCTCCCTGCCAGGGTCCCGGGAAGCACCCGGCAGCCATTGTCTGGTTTCACTTCCACCCGAGCCCAGTGGGGCAGCGTCCACGGCTGAGGGGCTGAGGGGCCGGCACGTGACCACAGTGGGGGGAGCCAGGATTGCACCGCGGGCCTGTGGGCATCTCCTCCACGGTTAGGAGGAGGTGGACGGTGCTCTGACAAGCTGCTCGGTGGCCCCAGTGTCCCATGTCCCGGAATTCTCCCCACAGGTCTAGACGTCGCTGCCCAGGCACCTTCATTATCCGGTTTGAGAACTAAAGGGGCCCGTGAAAGGTCTGTAGCTCCACTTCAAGGTGGGTTCTGGAAAGGCTGCAGGGACACCGGCAGGGAAGGCGGCCACGCCCACCTGCAGGAGCCCAGGACCCCGCTTGGCCCCGCATCTCCTGGCTGCATCTCCGCTTTGACTGAGCAAATGGTTAGGAAACAGCATTTTATCCCGTGGGCGGCTCGCACCGCAACAGCCCGGAGCCCAGCCTGCACAGAGGAGCTGCTCCTTTCATCCCTTCCACATGGTCGGTCAACATTTCTTCGCTACCAATTAGCCAATCTGCTGGATCAAACCTCCCCCGGCCTCAGCACCAGGGGTGGCTCCTAAAAGAATGGTGAAAGGCGACCAGGATTCCCCTCGCAGGCGGCACGGCCCGCTCCCACTCAGAAGACTGGCACATGCAGGACTGGCGGTGCACAGAAACCGGGTCGGATGGGCTTTGCCCTCCTCGGCCAGAGTTCAGCCCATCTCCAGGGAACAACACGTTTGTTTTGCCGCCTGAACCGGCTGAGGAGGACAAGAGGACTTCCTCTAACTCGCGGGCTTCCAGGTTATAAACTCAGTGACACATGGCCCCATCGGCCAGGAGCAGCTCCTCTTCCACCTCCGATGTTCCAGGAAATCTGGTTTTCCTTTTCTTACCCTCTACCGCCGGAATGGGTTTGAAAATTCAGATCCGTCAGAGAGTCTATGTGAGAACACCCTTCCTTTTCTCGTTGCACAGGCCACGTGG